TTTCTGAGATTGTGGATTTGGGGTTTTCATGAGCTGTAAGCCATAATCATCACAGTTATGACACATCACGGCTTGAACTATCTTGCTTTGCATGTAATGAGTCTATCTCATATATTAGGTTCACCTTTTAAGTTGCATTACTGAAATAAATGAACTTTTGCACGATATTCTAATTTTTCGAGTTTCACCTGTACATTACCCTGCTTATGTATCAAATGTTGCCATGGGAAAAGCAAGAGGAAAGCCGTGCAATCACATTTTTGCATTACAGGCTTTAACAGCGGAATGGTTTGAATAAATGACTTGACTGATATGCATTTTTCCCAAGCCAGCTTTCACTGTTTCTAGCTGCAGGAGGATCTTGGGGTCTTTTAGTTTTCTCACAGCCAGTAAGTTGCAATGCTTGTGTAGACCTGATATTCTTTGTGCCATGTGAATTGCTGCTCCTCCTTTTACAGCAGGGAGAAGAGACTAGCAGTTCTGTTCCAGCAAGGTCATTGCCTTTCCCTGCTGTGGCAGTTCTTCAATCTGGATGTTGCCAGAAGTAGGAAGACATTCACCCGTTTGGCAGCCCTCATGCAGGTGAACTGTGCAGAGGAGTCTCAAGATGAATCTCAGGTATACTAAAATAGCTTTCTTTCTTGCTCTTGCAGACTATCCCCATCCTTGATTGTTCCTTCTCTGTACTAGAGAGAAAATTGGCATCAAAGGATACCTGACAATACATGCTGTAGATAATTTTGTTTGAATTAACACTCTCATGGTTTGATCAATTGTTCTTTGGGTATTCTGTCCAATCTGATATATTCACAATGAGGATAATTAAAAATCATAGCTTTTAATGCAGAGGTCAAGTACAAGGATTCTTGTACACATTAATGATTGTACTACAGAAATAGGACTTGGGTACTATCTAAACTATTGTAAGTAATGGAAATATACAGGTTTAAATTCAGATACATATATAGTATCTTGCACTGGTTTGCTGTGGATGAAGTTATTGCACTATTAATTAATGCTTGATTTTCCCATTATTTCACATTCTAACATTAATTTACTGCCATAGATTTATTACTTAGTTTAAACAGTCTTACCTTATTTTCTAAATAAATTTTTATTTTTTAAAAAAAATGTTTATTGGTTTTTAACAATTACAATCTTTAGTGCTTAGTAAACAAAGTGTTGTCTGGGTTCACATACTTAACATTAATTTCTTCAATATAAATCTATTCAATACTGCACCTTACAGTGTTTTTTCCCCTGATCCTCCTTTCTTCCCCAATTTGTTTTCATTTTCCCCACATTTCGCAGTTACAATTCTTGTTACTGTTGGTGCATATAAAGTTAAATATAAACATCCTCCTCATATTTTTCTAGTATTATACAAATAACAATATCAATTTATAACTCTTTTCTAGCCAATTTATATTTCAATTGTATTTGCGATTAAAATCTCCTTGTTAAATCAATATCCTATTTTTCATGCTCTTATTTAAGTTTGATTACCCATCAATATTTGGAATGTCTTTGTCAGTTATGATTTTATCAAGATTAATTACATTTATATAGCTAAAAATTTTATTCATACAAGCCATCCTCTTATTTTTATATTTCCCACATCAAAAAAGAAAAAAAAGTGCTATTCTAATTCTAAATCATATCTTTTATTGTAAAAGTCTAATTTATCTGAGGTTTATCTGTGTCATGGTTCCGACAGATGAAACTCTTCAAAGAACTTTGAGGCATTGTTTACCTTAAAGAATCTTTATTGGAGTAGCATAGCTTCGGCACTAACATAGTTGAAGCCAAAGTCTGAATTCCCCTCCCCTGAACACATAGTATCAAAGCACAATTCCCTCCTCTAATTTACAGTCATAAATCACATTTTCCAATTAGTTTGAAATGCAGACTTTCCCTCCATCTCACCATTTCTTATCACCTCTTATTTCAAAAGCCCTGAATTCACACACTATTACAATATTGTTATGTCTAACTAACTCCCATCACATTCCTCCTCCTCCCCCAGTATCATCTAATTCTAAGAATAAAGCATAAGAAAGAAAAAGGCTGCATCTCCATATGTTGTCAAAGCAAGAACATCCAATGTTAGCATTGACAATCTGTTCTTTTAATCATATTCAAACAGATATTTAATCATATTATGTCCCCTCTGGTAGCTCAAATCTTCTGTTGCTTAAGTCTAACTCTTGCTTTCTTTCTTTGCCAAATAGCTTTCCAGGCCAAGGCAATTAAATTGCCCAAAAACTCTCCTTCTATTTTTGTGTAAGTTGCTTGGAATGAGGAAGACAATTTGGGTGGGATATTTGGGGGGGGGATTCCACCCATTTATATTCCTCCTTAAGCAAATCCCACTTTCCTTCTTCCTCAGCTTCTCTTTTCATTTTTTGTCTTCCAGGTTCTGACATTTCCCCTAACAGCTCTATAATCCATTTTTAAGATCTTTTTCCTTGTCATCCAGTATATTTTGCAGACCTAAGGGGTAAGGCGTCTTTTCCATTTTCATTATTGTAGCTAAGTCTTGCAGTGTTTTATTTGTATATGGTAGTTTATATTTCCCTTCTTTTATCTCTTCCATCTTTGGGTCAATTTCCTCTGCTTCCTCTTCTGATTTCTGGGTTATCTATTCATACTTTGTAGTAGTTATCTGGGAATTTTCTAGTTGTAGATTTAATTTAGAGATTTGCTCATTTATGTTAGATTGTTATCAGTCTCATCATGATTTCTTTTTGTATCTTCTTTATATGCAAATTGTCTGGTGAATTAGTTATAGCATAGAATATATTCCCTTCTGAAATGTGTTTATTTTTTATTGAGGCATCATTCCTGAAGATCCTTGATTAGCCTGGGTGGGGGCTTCAAATGGAGGCATAGGGTATGTTTTCTTACCACTTTTAGTTGGGTATGCAGCATCCATTTTGTTTCCCCCCTCCAGATAATCTGTCTAAACTTTTATGCTCTCCAAGTACAAGTCTTATCTAATATCACCAATCTTAATGACAATAGAAGGAAGTTTCATCTAGTTTTCTGGTCTTTATGTATAGCCTTTATAATCCAATAGGTTCCAAAATATGAGTCCAATCCTAAAAGCAATATTTTGTAATGGTTCTTCTGCTGAGGCATCCAAAAATTGTCAGTCAGCCAAAGTTGCAATCCACAATATTCAAAGTGTTCAAAATGTTCAGCCACCCTGAAAAGAATTCTCAGCCAGATGTAGCCAAAAGTCAATTTTTTCTTTCTCTCCCAATAGTCCTTAAGATTAAAAGTCCATGTTCAGTAGATATTTATAATCCAAGAAGGTCAGGGTGATAAATATGCCAAAATATTTTCCTCTGTTCTCCATTGAGTTAGGAGTCACTGAGCAGCCAGGAATTGTTCTCTATTTCTATGCTTCTTGCCAGGTCAGCATCAGTCCTTGCAGTTGTTGTGCTATACTCTAATCCACCACTATATGTCATTCAGTATCCATTTTCCACTCTTAAGACAGAAGGTTGATTTCTTATATTTCACCCCAATGTTTTTTTTAAAGAGAAAATCTTAACAGTTATCTCAGGTCTCAAATTTATCAGAACTGTAGCTTTATGTTACTTCCATTTCAATATTATGTATTTCTGTCCCCCATAGAAGAAATTAAAATGCCGCTTCCATTTCTCTGGAAGGATGAGGCTACAATCCCCTTCCTTCTCACTTTCAGAGGCTTTAGCTTCTGGGGAGCCTTTTCCAGGAAATTCAGTTATAAAGTAGTAAAGAAAGGATCAATATTCTTACCCAGTTTCAAACACGCTGTTTATAATCTGCTGGTTAGTGCTTTCTTCTTTGATTGTCAGTGGCTAATGGCTGGCCACAAGAATGCAGCCAGTCTTTCCCTGCTGGTTTGGAGGACTTTTCTTGGATCAAACAGAAAGACTGCCATCTCTCCGTGGTCAGTGAGGCACCCCTCCTTCTTCATCGCCTCTTCAGGGCAACTTTAGGCCCTTTTAGGGCCCCCAGCAGGGCAAAATCGGGCATGGAAGGCAGAGCTCTGCCTTCCTGCATCCGTCTTACCATGATGCCAACCAGTACCCTTTTCTAAATAAAATTTTAAATAAAAAGAAACATAGTATAAAGAAAAGAAAAGGAAATATAGGAAGAAGAAGCCACATTAGAATCAAACTTTCACTTCACTACTTTAGGAAAAAGGCAGTAATAGCAATAGCAATAGCATTTAGACTTATATACCACTTCACAGTGCTTTACAGACCTTTCTAAGCAGTTTACAGAGTCAGCCTATTCCCTCAGCAATCTGGGTCGTCATTTTATCGACCTCAGAAGGATGAAAGGCTGAGTCAACCTTGAGCAGGTGAGAATCGAACTGCTGAACTGCTGGCAGCTGGCAGTCAACAGAAGTAGCCTGCAGTACTGCATTCTAACCACTGCACCACCTCAATTCAGTAATGTTGATAACATCCAAATATATATTGGAAGAAGCTGCCACAATTATATTCCCTAATGTTCAAGGCTTTGCTCTGTTATCTGAATCTATTATACAAGATAAAGGACATTAAGACCATTGATACACTCTCATACAGATAGTCCTCGAGTTATGAGTGTAATGGAGCCTGCCCATTCCACTCGTAACTTGAAAACTTAGGAGTAAATCTCGTACCTCAAAGGAAATCATTCCCTTGCTCGTTAAGACGCACAGGGCTCATTAAGTGAACATGAGGTATCTCAGAGTGGGGAAGGCTATAGAGGGCCTAGTGATGGAACAGGCCCCCAAGGCCTTCCCAACCTACTAAGATACCTCATACTTCCCTCTCCCTGCTATGCCAGACTCACCTTGAAAAGATCTGTCTCCTCTCTCTACAGTTCTTGCTGCTGCCCAGATCTGAGGTCGGGGGATGGTTCCACAGCCCTCTTACAGCCCAATCCAAGCACTGGATGCCTTCTTCAGGCCACTTCTGCCCAGATCTTAGGCTGTAGGAACACTTCTGCACCCCTCTGGTGCCAGATCTGGGTGCTGGATGCCTTCTCCAGGCTGCTGCCACCCGGAAATGGGCTGCTGGAGGGCCGCGGAAGCATCCCCCAGTCTCAGATATGGGCAGCAGCGGCCTAGAGAAGGCCTCTGGTGCCCGGATCGGGCTGTTGGAGGGCCGCAGAAGTATCCTCCAGCTTCAGTTCCATTCTTTGTTGCAGAGAACAGAGGCCTAAAGTACCATGAGATCATGCGAGATCAGTAGTATGAGATCTCGCCCACTGATCTTGCGTGATCTTGCATTACTTTAGGCCTCTGTTCTCTGCAAATGCACCAAAGGCCTGGAGCAGCCAAGAAAGCGAAGGATCTCGATCTTCACAAGGTGAGTATTGAAGGCCTGGTGCCTACAGAGACGCAGGAGGGAGGGAATAGTTAGGGTGAATGTTGCAGATCCACTGCGGTTGCTTGCAAGGGTGAACAACTGCCATGGTGCTGCAATATTCATAATTTCGGCACTTGCTCGTAAGCACTAGGGAGCATTTATCAGGTAACTTTGAATGAGCGTTAAGTGAATGCTCATAACTTGGGGATTACCTGTACTGTAAATGGGTTCCTGTGAGAACATTGGGGTTTTTAAGTTTTCTTGAAAATTCAACCATTTGTTTGAAGCATCTTAACACAATACTAGATTTCACAAAAACAAAAAACAAAACAAAACATTGAGATGTCCAGCCAAGCTATGTAAACACTATTCTCATTTTTAGTATCAAAGATCATCTTCCAGAATTATTATTACCAATTTTGGTCTTCAAATTGGAGTGAGTGCCAAATTGAAAAATTTCAAGGAAAGATCAAGATAGGTCCTGCAAGTTTCTGACTAAACCAATACTAGATTCTTTCTATTAAAATGTTCTTAATGGGTACCAAAGTTCATTTGTGCCTTTATTTGCAATATCATAGATAATTTCGTCCTATATGGATTTCTCCCTCTGCTATCAAATGATGGGTTGCCAACATGAATGGATGAAGTATGAGTTAATGGCCATCAAACGTAGTTCTCATCTTCAAGTAGTTGGAGGAGGGTTACTGACTATTGCTAAACTAGCATCATCATTGGCTTACATGAAGCTTTGCTTGGGGAACATGCCTTTAGCCATCCAACTGGGTAAGTTATCTTGACAGCTTCAAATGCAGCAACTCTTGGGCTCAAAAGGTAGGCAGATATTCTTTGGACTTTTTTTTTAGGTTATCGAGCACACGAGTTATATGAGCAGCTGAAGCGGCCTAACCTTGATGCTACTGTACTCCATGACATTTTCAAAGCTCTTTATCTCAGCACCAGGTACTTGGTTGGATCTTTTTTATTACTGCTTGCACAAGGGGAGATTCATATACAAGCGCAAATGACCACCACTCCTGCGAAGGGAGCTTCATGCATGCGCTCGCCCATCGTATCTTCAGCCTGGTTCCAAACAGATCGGGGCCCAGTAGTGGGCCACCGCCCGGGGGTTGGGGACCCTTGATCTAGTCCAACCCCCTGCTCATGCAGGAGATCCTATACAATTTCTGACAGGTGGCAGTCCAATCTCTTCTTGAAATCCTCCAGTGATGGAGCACCCACAACCTCTGAAGGCAAGCTGTTCCATTGGTTGATTGTTCTCATTGTCAGGAAATTTCTTCTTATTTCTAGGTTGAATTTCTCCTTGGTCAGTTTCCATCCATTGTTTCTTATCCATCCTTCAGGTGCTTTGAAAAAATGGCTTGACCCTCTCCTCTCTGTGACAGTCCCTCAAATATTGGAATACTGCTATCATGTCACCCCCGTATAGACTAACCATGCCTAGTTCTTGCAACTGTTCTTTGTATGTTTTAGCCTCTAGAGCCCTAATCATCTTTGTTGCTTGGCTCTGCACTCTTTCCAAAGTTTCTACATCTTTTTTGTAATGTGGTGACCAAAACTGGATGCAGTATTCCAGGTGTGGCTTTACTAAGTCTTTATAGAGCAGTACTAGTACAGTACCTCACGTGATCTTGATTCTATGGCTCTGTTAATGCAACCTAGGATTGCATTGGCTTTTTTGGCTGCTGCCGCACACGGCTGACTCATGATTAATTGACTGTCTATTAGGACTCCAAGATCTTGCTCCCTTTCAAAATATTTACTTTCAATGGATTCTTTCCAATTAACATAGCTGCCACCGAATCTCTTTATTATGCCACAAAACCCTTTCTCTTTTAGAAAGCTTTGTAACATTTTGGCAGTGGTTTTCTCTCCAAGCTTGTTTCAATATAGTTTCTAAATGTTTTGTTACCAAACTAGATACATCATCAGCAGGATTTTCTTGTCCTATTCTCCTTAGCTTATGTGTACTGTTTTGTGTGCCAGTGTGGTCAGTTGGTTGTGCAATTGGTTGTTCGTATGGAGCTATATTTAAATTCTGAGAAGCTGATTGTTTCTTTTGTTGACTGGTAGTTTGAATGGTCTGTTTTTTTTACATATTTGTCAGAATCCAATTATATTTCATCTCTAGTTATCGACTATGGAAAACCCCATTTCTGCCCTTTTTGGATTCTGTCATACAATGAAGGGAAGGGGGGTGAACAAAGGGATTTTATGGCCCTCACTTCCTTCGGTACAACTTCAAAGGGACTGAATGTGGATACCAACAAAAGGACTAATCATAACAATGGGGCTATCAGCTTTCATCTAATCCCCTCTGAAGTCTCCCTTCCTCCAGCAGTGAGGGAAAAGGGGGGGGAAATGTAACACCTGGGATTGTCGCTGGAAGGATGGTGAGGTGGGGTGGAGCTGCTGGGGACCCCTTAAAACCTTGAACTGTAGGGCTTTTACCCCAGGTCCTGTCTAGAATGCCTGCAACCATTTTCTCTTAATAAAGATGCCTGTTGGAAGAAATATTCCAAGAGTTCTGTCTTCTTAAGATGCAAAGTGGGGTGGGTCCTTACATTAGACAGGACCTGAAGAATTAGTCCACCTGGAAGGGAGAACCTTGCCGGGGGACTTTGCAAAAATTACCATGTCAGACGATGGAGCAGGGAAAGGAGAAAACTCCCCGAAAAGGGAGCCGCTGCCCCGACTGAAACCCTGCCAGATGTCGGGATCTGAGAGGTCAGATTCCTCAGGAGAAGAGGTGGTGGAGACATGGGACCACAAACCTCGGTGGTCAATGGGTGTTGGAAAGAAAGGCAAGTGGGAAAAGAAATCAAGAAAGGTGACCCTGAGACGGGGGGCCAACCAACCAGAATGGAAGCAGGAGATAGAGAAATCCCTGCACGTAAGTGAGGAGGAAGGGAGCTGGGCACCGTACTCGGGCTGGATCCTAGAGAAAGCTATCAACCTGATGAAGAGAACCCTCAGCTCCCTAGGAGAGGAGAATTCTGAGCCCTACGGCCGCACCAGCTCCTGGAGCCACAACTGGAGAGACACCGAGGGGGAAGTGGAACCTGCAGCCTTGGAGACATCTGCTGACCCAGTAATCCCCACTCCCCGCCGACCCGCAGATGGCGATCTGGATGGAAGACACTACCACCGACAACGAAGGCACCAATCCATTCAAAGACTCCCGCCGCTGGACGTGAGATTCAAGGGGAAGCCGACACGCTTGGGGTTTTTCCTAACCCAAGTCCTCAGCTACATGGAGGAATATGGGCGGCACATCCCCAGTGACAAAACCCGTATCCGGATCGTGCAATCTGCCCTGGACGGGCCGGCCGCAGATTGGGTGGTGAACTTGCACGACTCCAATGCCCCAGAGCTCAACGACTTCAACCGTTTCATGTCCTCTCTGAAAAGGCGATTTGAGGACCCCCTGGCTGATCGCAAAGCCCGCAAAAGGATAAAAATGATGAGGCAAGGCAAACGCCCAGTAGCCGAATATACGCAAGAATTCCGGGCCATTGCCAGCAAACTGAACTGGCTGGAAGACATCCTCCTTAGCCATTTCAAAGACAGACTAAATTATGACCTATATGACGCTTGCCTGCCCCGAAGGGACCCACACCAACTTGAGGAATGGTACGTCTTGGAAGAGGAAGCAGAAATCGACATACTGAAGAGGCACTGCCGAGGAAAACAATGGAGCCGCTCACCGCCTGAGTTGATACGTGAACCAGTGAAACCATTGGCTATGGCCAAGAAACAAATCGGGTGTTTCAAGTGCGGGAGAGAAGGGCATCAGGCTGTAGAATGCTGCTCAAAAGCCCCCCAGCACAACCCAGACAGATCACCAGCCAGCAAATCCGGAAAGTCTTCAGCTAAGCCAAAAGAACCTGCCATGAGAATGATGGAGGCTGTGGAATCTCCCACCTCTGCTCAGCAGGGGGAAAGAACTCCAGCCTACATCGCAGGGCCGGTGGATGCCTCAGATGACAGCTCGGAGGGCGAACCCCTGGTAAGTGGACGCATCGCACCCATCCTCAAGACAGTGACTATATTAATTCCCCCTATGCCCGAAGCCGTGAAGGTGAAAGCCTTAATAGGCTCTGGCTGCACCCGCTGCCTCATTAGCCTGACGCTAGTAGGGAATCTGGGCATTCCGTCGAGGAGACTGGAACAACCAATCTCATTTGGCCAGTTAGATGGGTCCATAGCAGGGGGGGTGCCAGCTACCATAGCCACTTTACCAATACACCTCTCCCTGGGCAAACATGAGGAAGACATAACGTTTGTAGTGATCCCAGGCATGGAATGCCCGATGATCCTAGGGATGGAATGGTTAAAAAAATGGAACCCCTGGGTGAATTGGAGGATGGCAGAAATCAAATTCCCAAAGGGGGACCCTATGGACTTAAAATCCCAAGGGGGGCTACCAGAATCAAGAACAGAAAAAGCATCCATGGGAGAGGAAAAGGGACTACCAGAAATACCAGAGGATTACAGAGACCTTGCTGAAGTTTTCAGTGAGGAGAGGGCGGATGAACTCCCCCCCCCCACTGACCCATGGACTGTGCCATTGAATTCAAGCCTGGGGCAAAACTCCTGAAGCCCAGATTATACTCCATGAGCCCAAAGGAGAAGGAGGAAATGGAAAGATTCATAAAGAAAAACCTAGAAAGGGGGTTCATTGAGCCAGCCAAGCCTAAAGTGGCTGCCCCAGTCCTCTTTAGAGAGAAGAAGGATGGCTTTTTACGCTTATGCGTGGATTATAGGGCCCTGAATACAATCAGTGAAAGCAACCTATACCTTCTGCCCCTCATGAAAGACATGTTGTCACATCTCTCGAAAGGGAAATTTTTTTCTAAACTAGACCTAAGGGAAGCTTACTATCGCGTGAGAATTAAGGAAGGGGATGAATGGAAGACCTCATTTAACTGCCCCATGGGGTGCTACCAATTCAAAGTCTTGCCATTTGGATTACAAGGGGCCCCCGTAGTATTTATGTAATTAATCAATGATGTTCTAAGGGAGCACCTATTTAAGGGGGTCCTGGTTTACTTAGACGACATTCTTATCTTCACCAAATCAAAAGAGGAACATGTCAACCTATTCAGAATGGTTTTAAAGAAACTGCGCCCACCTATATGCCAAACTCTCGAAATGCGAATTCCACCAGGAAAGGATAGACTACCTAGGTTATTGCATATCCCCACAGGGCATTGAAATGGACCCAGAGAAGGTCAGAACAGTATTAGAATGGGCACCACCTCGCACAAGAAAGCAACTGCAAAGTTTCTTGGGCTTCGCAAACTTTTACCGCCAATTCATCCCCTCATTTGCCCAGATAGCCCTGCCCCTCACGAACTTACTAAAAACGAAGGGAGCATCCTCAGTAAAACCTAGCCAGCCATTAACATGGACAATGGAGTGCCAAGCAGCGTTTGAGAGATTAAAGAGACTTTTTTCTGCCAAACCAGTACTGAGGCACCCAGACATGGATAAGCCCTTTGTAATACAGGCGGATGCAAGTGATGTGGCAGTGGGGGCTGTACTGTTACAAGAAAACAATGAAGGGGTATTGCAACCCTGTGCATATACATCCAAGAAACTCACGGAAATGGAACAGCGCTGGCCCGTGTGGGAGAAAGAGGCATACGGGATACGTTGGTCATTACTCACATGGTACCAGTTCCTTGAAGGCAACAAATTCCCTTTCCAGGTGTGGACTGACCACAAAAATTTGGAAGCCCTGAAAACACCCAGGAAGCTCAACCCCAAGCAAGCCCGCTGGTCCCAGCATTTCCACCAGTTCCAATTTATACTCAAGCATTTGCCAGGGGAAAGAACTTCCTGGCAGATGCACTATCTCGCATGCCCCAATATAACAGCACGCGAGCCACCGACTCTAAACCGATGCTAGTAGAATCACAACTGGCAGCGTCAGTAAC